GGCGCACCCCTACACGGGCGCGCGCGAACACACACACACACACACACACACACCCCGTTTAACAAACCCGCCGTCGGAGGTGGAGGTCGACCTGGGCCGTGCGCTCCCGCCGGGTCTCCGGTAACGCGGTCCCGCCGGGCTTGGGGTCGCCCGGGCCGGGCACTGAGCTGTCGGGGTGGCGCCCCGAGAGAGGTGTGCGGCTGTGTGTGTTGGGTGATGTGTCGTGTGGTTTGGTGCAGGCGGTCATGTGTAAAGGACTGTGGGGGGCCTCGGGGGGGGGTGGAGGACTGTGTGCAGGGTCTGTCACTGTGGGGGTGTCCGTGGGGTCTGGGTGGGGATGTGTCTCGGGGCTCTGTGTCTCCGTGGACGGTGCGAGCTGCGAGGATGGCCGAGCACCTGGTGGCAGGTGCTGGCTGTGCGGGGGACACGGCTGGGCAGGGCTGGGCGCCTCGGGGGCGGGGGACCCGTGGAGGGCCCGTGGGAGCGCGGACGCAGCGCGCGGATGGGGACCCGGGTGAGTGCGGGGCGTCCGCCACGGGTCTCCGGTGCGGCTCCGGGTTCGCACGCTGCATGTGCTCGCGTGTGCTTTGCTCCTGCAGAAGGTGTGCATTGTACCCACAGGCTGGGACGGGGAGGCGAGGTGCACCCCTGCCCCCAACCCTGGGGCCCAGCCTCCTTCCCTCGGCCTCATCCCTTCCAGGTCTCCGCGCGGCCGCTCGGTGGCCGATGAACCTTCTGTCCCGGGACACCCGAGCCTCCGCTTCCGCTCCCAAGGGAGGAGCCTGGCGGCCGGCTGGGCGAGGCCAGGGCCTGCCTCCAGCCAGACCTGGGGGTGGGAGGACCGGGGCGGGGAAGTCGGACTGTGTGTGGCTTGTTGGTATCCGTCGTGCGGACGTGGACGCGATCGGTGGGAGAGCTCTGTGTGTGAGTGTACGTGCGCGCTTGCCCGTGGAGGGAGACGTGTGTCACCAAGGCTGTGTGTGCCCCTCTCTGCTGTGGCTGTGTCTGGGCTGGCTGGCTTGGACAAAGTGTGTTTTTGAGGGGCACGTTCACACCTGTCTGCTCTGTTAAGTGTGTGTTTGGTGTGACCTGCCCTTTTCCCCCACCCGGGCTGTCAGGGAGTAGGCGCGGCCCCACCCCACAGTGGAGATCCCTCAGTGTTGCCTGCCAATTCCCTTGTTCATCTATAGACTCAGATACTGCCCACCCGGCTCTGAGGCATGGATAGGGTCCAATAAACCTGGGGTGCTGATACAGCCCCCGGAGAACCACTCCCCGTGTCTCTGCCTCCCAGGCACAAGCATCTACACGGCCAGGGATCACCTTGCTTGACTCAGAAAAACCTGTGAAGTAAGGAGTGTTATCCCTAGCCTCATCCCTAGGGAGATTTCTGAGGCTCCCAAGGTAGTACTTAAGCCATCTTCATCTATGAATAGTAGTAGTAATAATAATAATAATAATTACAGTAGCAACTATTTCCTGATACCTATCGTGTAACAGGGCCATACTACCCTATTTGTGTTTTAATTTCTTCCCACAAAAATCCTATGAGCCTTGTAGTCTGTGAGGCAACTGAGGTGCAGGAAGGTTGAAGACCTTGCCCAGGGCTACCCAGCCGGGAAGGGTCCGGGAATATTTGATGAGTGCCACCCCCAACTGCATTCTTACCAAGACAGGATTACGGCCTTTTACTCAAGGTGGGGGTTCCCTCCCTCCCTCCCTCCCAAGGCGGCCCATGCACTAGCGAGTAGCATGATTGGAGGGTGGGTGTCAGTCCGAGAATTGACTCTGAGTGATGTTTCCCCATGAATCATGCCTCAAACTGTTGGGAAGGTCTTTAATCAGGCCGAAGTCTCGCTCCCTCTCACACCTTATACCTGGGCCTCCTTGTCCCACATCTGGACTCTGAATGGGTGGGGAGATGGGTTCTAGAGAGAACCTATCTGCCTGACATGCCATTGCCTGTTCCTCCACCCACCGCACACAGCAACACAGCTGCAAGGCAGGTGACTTCCTCTACCTTCCAATGAATGAACTCTTGGGGCCTTTGAGAGACCTCCCTGCCCTGCCTCACTTCTCACCTCATGATGACACTGAGCTGGCAGCGGGTGGGCTCTGTGTGTGGACTCTGTGATTCTGGTAGCTCTCGGGCCATCAGGCAGTCATAAAGTTCACAATTGAAAAAAAGAAATCCACTCATCAGTTTTGAAATCCTCAAGCAATAAATGAACGTAGAATCTTTATTTTAAAATATTGAAATAAAAAATTCACTTGCCTCCTGACCAAAACCCTTCCTCTTCTAGAAGTTTCCCAGGAGGCCAGGAGCTGCTGTGCAGCCAGTTAAACCTGGGTCCTTTCAGACTTTTCCATGTGCATTTCCACCGCTATCGCTGTGTAAACATGGAGAGACATCGTAGTTTATGCTGCTGGGTTTTTACATAAATGAGGTCATCTTAGGTGTATTGTTTGGCAGCTCGCTTTGTTCACGTGACAGTATATCCATTCCAGAGTACTCAGTCATATGTACCAACCTCATCCATTCATCATCCTTCCTCCCTCCTTCCGCATGCCTCCCGCCCCTTTCTCCCTTTTATGGGTACCAGCTGCCTACCCTATAATATCAATAGATACCATGCAAAGTCTCTCTTTCTTCCTCTCATTAACTACCAAATCCATCTTTCCACTTTACTTTTGTTTTTCACTTAATAAACCACTTAGGAGACCTTTTCAATTAGCAATAAAGAGTTGCCTCAATCGTTTAAATGGGTACAATTGTTCCGTGTATGGATGACATATAATGTATGTAACCAGTCCCCTAATGATGGACATTCAATTGTCTCTATTACATGGGCTACAGGAATAGCCTTGTACTTGTATCATTACCTTAGTATGGAGAGCTTCCTGGTCCCTTTTCAGAACTGTATAGTATTTCACTATGGCTGTGTCATGATGTTTTAACCAGCCCCCTACTACTGGACATTTGGGGGTGTTTTCTGTCTTTTGCTCTTAGACACAAGGCTCTGATTAATTTACATATTTAATTTGGGGGTATTTTTAAAAATATATTTTTATTGATTTCAGAGAGGAAGAGAGAGGGTGAGAGAGATACAAACATCAAAAATGAGAGAGAATCAGTGATTGGCTGCCTCCTGCACACCCCACACTGGGGATTGAGCCCACAACCCAGGCATGTGTCCTTGACTGGAATCAAACCGGGGACCCTTCAGTCTGCAGGCCGGTGCTCTATCCACTGCGCCAAACCAGCTAAGGCTAATTTGGGGGTATTTTAATTGGAGGATAAATCCCAGAAGTGAGGCACCCAGTGAAGGGTGCGTGCCGTTGTCAGTGTAGTGCACACTGCCAAGTCACCCTCTGTGTGAGTTGTGCCAATGTGCCCGCCCATCAGGGGGAGAGAGGAGCCCCCAGGCAGCCTCACTTTGGTGTCTTTCTCTCCTTCTTTCTAGATGCGAGCCACTCCTCTGGCAGCTCCTATGGGTACTCCCTCCAGGAAGAAGCAGTTGAAGTTGGATGATGACCTAGACACGGAGTGTCCCGCCCGGAAGCAAGCTCGAAGTGGACCCCAGCCCAGGCTGCCCCCCTGCCCTCTGCCCCTGAGCCCACCCCCTGCTCCAGTCCGTGCCCCTGCTGTGACCACTGCCTCCCGGCTTGGGCCCTATGTCCTCCTGGAACCCGAGGAGGGCGGCCGGGCCTACCGGGCCCTGCACTGCCCCACAGGCACCGAATACACCTGCCAGGTAAGTGCCCCTGGGGGCCCTCCTCCAGCATCACAGGGGTCTGGGAGGAGCCTTGGCTGCAGAGGACTGTCAGGCCTGAGGGATCCGTGTGCTCATTTCGTCCTGTGCTTATTGGGAGCAGCCAGGGAGCCCCCCAACTCTCTGTCAAGCCCCAGGCTGGACTGTGACCAGAGAAGTAAACCAGATGGTCCCAGCCCTGGGGAATTCATAGCTTAGGTCCCCATAATGGATACAGGTTGCAGGGGTGGCGCTTACGGACCATGACAGCAGAGGGGAAAAGCCTCTAATGTACTCAAGGGTGTGGGGAGCCGGCACGGCCATGGCATACTCAGCCCCAGGGCGCCTTATGTGCCATGCCAGCTCAGCCTGGTTCAGTGACCCTGAGTGGGGGGGTGAAAGGCTTAGAAAAGACAGACAAGAGAATGAAAGCTGGGTCTCGGTGGGACGCTGCTCCCTGATGAGGAGACAGCGCCAGCGCCCACAAGCCGTGTCTTTATTTTATAGCAGACGCCACGAGGCAGAGTAAGGGCGTGACCAAGATGTTTACAACATTCTTGTGGGTTTCAGTCCCACTCAACTACATGCACCTGAACTCTATCACTCAGGCACGTGGGGCCACGTGTTCGGATCACAGGTTCAAGCTTACAGCTATGGCTGTTGGCTAATTGTGCTGGGAGGGCTCTGCCATCCAAGCTGGGACTTGCACGTGGCAATGAGAGGACTGTGCCCTCTCAGTAGTCCAAGGCTTGAACCTGTCCAAAACACTCTGGCCGCGCCCCACACAAGGGGGTGTCAGAAAAGACCGAGGAGTTAGCCAGGGAGAAGCGGGAAGAGGGAGGTCCGGGCAGGGAAACAGCTGTGCAGAGAGGCCTAGAGGAGGGAGAGCATGGCGCTTCAGGGAGTTAACAGGACTTCACCATGGCCGAGTGGAGAGGGTGTGCAGCCAGGGGCAGGAGATAGGGGCTGGCAGCCACTGGGCATGACAGCACTAGAAAGGACCTCCTGTGGGAAGCCATGGAAGACATTTGCACAAGAGAAGGATGAGATAGAGTAGGCATCAGAACCCCTGGGATCCTGGAGGTCATGGGACCTAACCTCTGGCCATTTTACAGATACAGACTGAGGTTAAGAGAGGAGAAGGGTCATGCACGAATCCACATAACATTGGGCCTGGCTTCCGAGGGCAAGGTCCAGGGTTCTAGGCCGAAATCAGGAACCAGGCAGGACCAAGGCCCCACGAGGGTCAGGCCCACACAAGACATTGGCAGGTCACAGCCCAGAGAGAGATGAGAAAGTCTAAAACGGGTGTTTGCTGTGCACCAGGGGCCGTGTTGATTGCTTAGTGTGCGTAATCTCTTCTAATCTTCACACAATCTATGAGGTGGGTACTGTTATTGGGCCCATTTATAGATAAAGGACACCGGGGCTCAAAAGGATGCGGTTACTTGCCACATCCCAGAGCCAGGAGGTGTCAGAGCTGAGATTGGGCCCCGGCAGGCGGAGCCCAGAGCCCATGCTGGGACACATGGTTCAGACACAAGCAGAGCAGATTTGCTCCCGGTGAGCAGATTTGCTCCCGGTGGGCAGGGGTATGGAAGATAGGGGAGACCCAGGCACACAAGGGAGGGGTAGAAGGGGGCCTGGGTCCCCTTGGAAATGAACAAGAAGCAAAAGGAACTAAGCCTCCAACTGGGAGCAGCAGCAACTGGCTCCAGCTCCTGTTGATGGGGGATGCAGTGGACAGGGGGACAGATCTGGACAAGTGGTCCAGTCATCAGCTTTATCAGGGCTCTGAACTGCCTGATACAGCTCCCCAGTGCTCTGCCCCAGATACTCTAAGGGGCCCCTGAACTCTGGGTCCCCTTTCCTGCAGCATCAGGGTTCTTTCCTGTCCCCACTGGGGAGGAAGTCCATGCTGAGGGGAGTGACTAAAGCGAGCTGGAACCAGAGCCGCGCCCACTTACTTAGAAACATTTAGGGGAGTCTGCAGGGATTGCTTGTCCCCACACCAGCAGGAACTGTGAGGGCTGACCTGTCATTGACTGTATCCTGTCAATTCCACATGTCTAGGGTCTTTTGGTCAGGATGTAGAAAGACCAACAACCTGCCTTTGTGGATTGTGGCCTAATTCATTAATTGAACAAACCAGTGAGCACCTGTGAGCACCATGCTGTAGTTCAAAAATAGACAAAGTTCTGCTGAGGTTTCATCCAGCGGAGGTTCTAGTGAGGGAGTAATGTATGTCAGGTGACCCTAGGTGCTATGGAGCTGGCAGAGAGGGGAACCGGGAGGGTAGCAGGTGCAGGTGATTTTAGGTAGGGAAGTCTGGGAAGACCTCTTTGAGGAGGTGACATCTGAGTAGTGACTTGTGTGGGTTGGGGGAGCTGGCCCCAGGGGTAGCCGGCCCCATGAGCAGCTTTAGGGAAGAGCATCCGGCGGCGGAAAGGCAAGTACAAATGCACAGAGGTAGGGATGTGCTCACCCCAACTTTTAAAAAAAGTCTCTGTGGGTTATTTCCTCCATGCCCCTCAACTTTATTTTTTAAGACATATGCTTGCATTTTATTCCTGGTGGATTAAATATGTATGTACTTTATTTTTACTTTCTGTGTGGCATAGTTAAAATAACATGCAAAGGGATTAAAGTCAGGCGAACCAAAGGGAGTACACCAGCTTGGCCGCTGACCGGCTGTATGACTTCCAACAAGTCACCTTCTTCTCTGAACGTTGGAGGCTTCCATCTCATGTCCTTAAAGCCAACAAGCTGAGCTGCTCTTACTACATGCTTCCCTCCCCTCCCCTTCCTCCCCCTCCCTACCCTACCCCAGACCCCCTGACCTTTGGTTGTGTTCCTAGAGCTGATCTAGCTCATTTTTGCCTCAGGGCCTTTGCACTGTCTGCCCCACCCCCGCCCCCCCATCTGGAAAACATATCCCATGGGCATTTCTGAATCATTCAGGTCACTTCCTCAGAGTCCCTTTAGGACCACATTTTCTAATAGAGGTACCCCCTTCCAAGTTATTCTGTATCCCAGCACCTTTCTTTTTTTCTTTTCTTTCTTTTTTTTTTATCAGCACAGAAGTCTTTTTTATTTTTCCCCACTTATCATGCCATGAATTCAAAAGGAATGGGTTCCAGAAGCTCAGGCTCCTTTCCATTGGTTCTCACAAAGTGTGCTTCTCTGGGTGGAGCAGGCTGACGCTTCAGTTGAACCCAGGTACCTTTCTCTTTGGCTTCCTTCTTTTTCTGATCATTTCCCTTCACATGTTTCAGGAAGCTATCTCGGCTCTTAGAGTGCTTAATATGCTCAATACGTACATTAATTCTCTTGGCAAGAATCTTGCCCTAGCCCTAACCGGTTTGGCTCAGTGGATAGAGCGTCGGCCTGCTGACTGAAGGGTCGCAGGTTCGATTCCGGTCAAGGGCATGTACCTTGGTTGCGGGCACATCCCCAGTAGGGGGTGTGCAGGAGGCAGCTGATCAATGTTTCTCTCTCATCGATGTTTCTAACTCTCTATTCCTCTCCCTTCCTCTCTGAAAAAAAATCAATAAAAATATATTTAAAAAAAAATCTTGCCCTTAACTTGCTTGTTCACAACAATGCCCATTGCATGCTGGGTGACCCTGTAGACTCTTCCAGTGTTGCCATGGTGACATTTGTGGGGTGTTCCTTTTTGAACAGTGCCCATTCCCTTGATGTCCACAATATCACCTTTCTTATAGATTCGCATGTATGTGGCCAAAGGAACAACTCCATGTTTTCTAAAAGGCCTAGAGAACATATAGCAGTGCCCCTCCTCTTTCCCTTGGTGTTAGTCATTTTGGCGAATTCCTGGAAGATGGCGGTTCCGCTCCCAGCACCTTTCTTGGTTCCTTTGCAACACTTATCAGAATTGCGTTGATTGCTTAGTGTGCATAAATATGTCGCTTTGGGGCCTATTTACTGCATCCTGTATTGGATGGGCACCAGGAGGGCAGGGACCATGGCTGTGAGTCAAGTTAGATGCCCAGTGGCTGGCACAGGTAGGAATGCAAGAAAGGGTGGGCAGTGTGAATTCTAGAGAATGGAAGCTCTGATGGTGATGATAATGGGCATAAAGCTACTTCTGCATCATCTGCTCTTTTGGATTTCCCTGCTTTCTGGGTTATTTTTGTTTGGGTTACCTATTCTTTTTCTTTTCTTGTTAAAAAAATATTTTTTATTGATTTCGGAGAGGAAGGGAGAGGGAGAGAGAAACATCAATGATGAGAGAGAATCATTGAGCGACTGCCTCCTGCATGTCCCCCCACTGGGGATTAAACCTGCAACCTGGGCATGTGCCATTGCCAGGAATCGAACCATGACTTCCTGGTTCATAGGCTGACGCTCAACCACTGAGCCACACTGGCTGGGCTCTGTTATTTTTTCAATTCTCTTAAGTTTAAGAACATATAAGGTAGCAGTTAAGAACACTTGGCTGTGTGGCCTCTTGGCTTCCTCAGGGTTGAGTGTCTTGCTGCAGGAGCGCTTGGCACACTGCCTGGCACCCAGTAGTATGTAAGGGACAGCTGACTGTTTCCAAGGTCAGCCCGGGCTCCACGCGGTCCCCCCTGTGCTCATGCTGTGCTCCGCCCACAGGTGTACCCCGTCTGCGAGAGCCTGAAGGTGCTAGAGCCCTACTCGCGGCTGCCTCCCCACAAGCATGTGGCACGGCCTGTGGAGGTCCTGGCAGGCCCACACCACCTTTACACCGTTTTCCCGCGGCCCCACGGGGACATGCACAGCCTGGTGCGCCGCCGCCGCCGCCTGCCCGAGCCCGAGGCCGCCAGGCTCTTTTGCCAGATGGCCGCCGCCGTGGCGCACTGTCACCAGCACGGTCTGGTCCTGCGAGACCTCAAGCTGCGACGCTTTGTCTTCGCCGACTGTGAGAGGTGAGTGTGGCAACAGAGGAGCCGCCCAGGAGGTGGGCCCTAACGGGGAAACCAAGGCTCAGGAAGGCCGAGTAGCCAACACAGACTGTGGAGAAGCCTGGACAGCACCACTGCCCGCTCCAGGGAAGAAGGGAACCCAGTCCTGTGGGAAGCCCCTTGGGGTGGAGCGCTGCCTTTGTGATTAATCCTCACCGGAGCATATTTTTCCATCCATTTTTAGAGACAGTGGAGGGGGAGAGACTGAGAGAGAGAAACATCGATGTGAGAGAAACACGTCAACTGGCTGCCTCCCGCACGCGCCCCCACCAGGGCCCTTGACCAGAACTGAACCCTGGACTCAGTCTGTGGGCCGATGCTCTATCCACTGAGTCAAACCGGCCAGGGCAGCGCTGCCTTTGTGATAATTGCGACAGTGATGAAGAGCATCGCTGCTCTGCCTGGCGTGACCTGGATCCTGGTAAATCGGAGGTGGACACTGTTATTGTCCCCATATGGCAGGCGAGGAAACTGAGACCCGGCGAGGTCAGTAGCCCAAGACCGACAGCTGAATAAATACTAAGCTGGGATCTGAACCCAGAGGTGACTCCAGAGCCAGGGCCCTAGCTCCCTCTGAGCATGAGAGGTGGGAGGTCTGGTTGGGTGGCTTGCCGACTCTGGGTGGCCCAGT